GGGAGTGCGGTTGTACAGGTGCTATGCGCAATTCAGTAATTACTGAAGTGTAATTGTCTTTTGTCAGCTTCGTGTCCACGGACCAAGACTCAAGAAGTCCTGTGCTTCGGACTCAGCCGAGGATTGTACAGGGCCCTCGGCAATCCCATGTAAAGCGAGCGAGCTCTGACGCTTGTATGTCTGCATCGGAGCATGCATCGGTCGCGCCCACGCGTAGCAAACCGAAGTCGTTTCTCGTAGAGTTTCTCATGGTTCTCGATGTAGAGCCGTGTCCACGGAAGGTTCCCTCTTACTGTTGCAGGAGCAAAGAGCCCATGAGCCGATAGTGCATACACTGACCTGAAACAGAAGAGTCGCCATAACATGGCAGACTGCCAACCACTTGGATCCTGAATTACATCCCCTCCGCAGCCCCAATCCGTGCAACAGCAGAAAAGCTCCTCTGCCAAGTTCAATCCCTCTCCATGAAGAGCCAAGGCTTCCACGGCCCCACATGTATCATGGTCCATCGGTCCATCAAGCTGTCTATTTGTAACTCGAGAAGCAAACAGAATTTTGGATTAGAACGTATGTACACATGCACACATGTGCAAACATACCTGCCCTAGAATGATATGCTGCGGCTGATTATGATGCTGAGGACAGTGGTAGGTGATGGTGAGTCTCAAGGATGCTTCTTGCAAGTGAGGTGCCGTGTTCTCTATCGCTCGCATGACCCGAAAGGCTCCCCGGGCTCTTCATGAATGTCAAAGTCGGCTGAGCTCAGAGAAACTATGCAAATGCTTCTCTTCACGTTCACAGGAGGGTCTTCTCTTCGAGGGGGTATAAGCAGATAGGGGAGCTTTGCTTCACCGCGGCCATGGTGGTGGACGTTCACGCGTTGCGAGCAGCCCTGGAGAACAAGCGCTTCCATGACAAGGAGTCGTCTCTCCTAAAGATGATTCAGCAGGCTGAAGCTATTCAGCTCCAGCAGCAGGATCTACTTGCTACAGCAAAGGACATCGCCGAGGTCTTCTTCGTGAAGGTAGACAATTACAAGTTCGAGGCAACGCCCTTCGACAGCATCGCAAACCTCGCAGAGCAGGTGGCAATCCGACTGCGTTGCAAAGCCGCATCGCTGGTGATCACCTTGGATGGGAAGGCTTTGCCAAAGGAAGCCAGCCTCAGTTCTCTTGGGATCACAGCAGGCTCGCAACTTGACTTCAAGGAAGCGGCCCCTAAAGGCAGGAAGCGCCGAAAGGCTAAAAGCCTCCAGCAATCTCAGCAGGGTACCAAGATCCAAAAGAGAGTGCAGCGAGTCTCTCATGTCCTTGTGAAAACGCTGACTGGCAAGACCATCATTGTGCGTGAGATCGGTCCCTGCACTACCGTGGAGGAGCTGAAGCAGAGGACCTTCGTCCAAGAACACTACCGTAGTTCTTGACCCACTAATGTAAGTTAAGCGCGCTTTTTGCAGAAGGTGACTGTGATGCCCCACCTGCCCATTTGCCCAAGACCAGTTAGATGCTCGCCCCAGGATTCAGGAGAGGGAAGGCATCCCTCCGGACCAGCAGCGCGTGGTCTTCTCGGGGAAGCAGTTGGAGGATGAGTGGACGCTCGCAGACTATGACATTCCTGAGGCAGCCGAGATGCATCTGGTCCTGCGGCTCCGTGGCGGCATGTACGATCCAATCTCTGGTCGCGAAGGCTTTAAGGTGCTCTCCGATGAGATCGTCTTCGATAACGGAAGTACATTGACCTTCGATGGGAGCTCAGAAAGCCTTGAACGCTTCGGTCAGACCTTTGCCTCCAAGACAGAGATGCTTTCCTTCCTGGAAGAGCACCGCATCGAGGCCCTTTTGAAGCGCTTGCAGGAGGTCCAGAGCCGATCCGAAAGAGTCGAGAAAGAGGCGCAACAATGGATGGCCAAGGCGGTTGCGGCGGGCGACGCCTGAGGTTTGCCGTGCACCTCGGAGAGGATGCTCTGATGCTCTTTTCTCTTTTCGGAAAGGCGCAGCGCAGAGGGACAGACAGTCTGCGTGCTCCCGTGTACAAAAAATCTGCCTACAGTGGCCTACAGTGCAGGAAGAGGTGGACTGTGGGCAGTTGCAGCCAGCAGTCGGGAGAACAGACATGTGGGGCGATGCATGTTTCAAAATCGAAGAAGCTTCATGCCAATTCCGATTCAGTCACATTCGGAAGACCCTCAAGAGCTCCATGCCAACAGCTTGCGCCCCTGCAGCCTCTGTCCATCTCCGTCCTGCAACAAACTCGGAAGGTTGGTCCTATCAAGAACGCCGGACGGGCCAGCGCAGGTGGCACTTGCCGGGAGTGCCATCGGATATTGAACTGCTGCTGAAATCAATGAGAACTGTGAATTGATTTGAGATGAGGTCAAAATTATCGTAT